ACTCTTGATTTTGGCTCAGGTCATGATTTCAGGGTCATGAGATCAAGCCCTGCATCTGCCCCATGTCAGGCTCCAAGCTCAGTGGGGATTCTGCTTGAGATTCTCTCTCTGTCTCTGCCCCTCCCCCTGCCCCAGCCTTGGCTCACTTGCACACACTCTCTCAAATAAATGAATAAATCTTTTTAAAAAGTCCAAAAATTTAATGTCTCCATTTTCACAAATGAGAAGAGTGAAGCATAGTATTTGAAATAACAAGTTCATAGTGACAGTGTAATGAGTGGAAGCAAAAAGCTAAAACTCCTGTTTTACTCTAAAGCCTATGTTAATACCAGAGCTGATAATTATGGCATTAAATATTGAAGCACAGATAATTTAATTTCAATTTGACTTATGTTTATAAACCCAAAAACTTCCTGGTAAGAGATTCGAAAGTTCAGAAATGGAAATTGTACATGAAAAAGAAGTTTGGAGTTTGCTATGATTCAGTCAAAATTTCCATCCTCCTACAAATATTCCTCTGAACTCAAAAGCAAGAATATTTATAATCTGGGTTCCTGTTATTTTCATCTCTGTTCAGGTAATCAGTATGTGACAGCAACTTACCTTGAAAATGCCATTATTTTTTAGACTAAAGAACAGATCTGTCATGACTATCAATTTAAAATACCATCTCTGTGTTAAAAAGAAGCTAAGCTATTCATCTACTCCGTACATTTTTTTAACAAAAGAAAGAAAAAGACATTGAAGATAGGTTTTCTTGTTAATGTTAACAGAGGCTGTGTGCTTCCAACTTGAATAATATTCCTGAGTTATTTTGCAGGTAGGTAAGGAGAAGGATGTGGAAGGCAGAAGATGGTGCTTCTGTGTTGAATTAATGTGGTCACGTAAAATCTGTCACATTTAGGTAGTATTTTTTATGCATAAAATCCTTGAACTCAAAGTAATTTTATAGAAAATAGATACACGCATGGAATATCCATTTCAGTCAGTTAAGCAATTCTGAAGACCCTTTCTTCAGGCAAGAGTGAAAAAAAAAAAAAGCCTAGCATTTAATAGGACTATTAAATGGACTTTAATAGGACTATTAAATGCTGGGCTGCCATTCTAGTTATATCATTTAATGGCCAAGAAATCTGACTAATCCTTTAACTTCTCTTAACCTCAGATTTTCATCTGTAAAATTGTGATAATACAGAGTTTTGTTAACTTAATGGTCAGCAAGGCACTATGCAAAAGCCAGTAATAACTATAGCTCTTTTTCACCATTTTATTACATACTACTCTCTACTTCTCCTACTCCCAGCAAACCCGGCAATGGACAGTCAACACCCATTGTCTGGAGATACATGATGAAAATTTCCTATGCTCCTTTTCCCTTCAATCAATTATGTATTATTTATAATAAATATATATATTTATTTATGTCATATATACCCTGATATATCTGCCTTATTTAATTTTAGATATGCTCCACGAGTGCTCCAGCTTTTGTTCATATGCTGTTATCATGGTATAATTATCTATTTACACCTTTGTTCCTCCCATGTACAAGAGCTTCCAAAATTAAGTTTTCCATTTATTTTTCTATCTTCATCATCTCACCACAACGTCTTAGCAAATGTTTGGTGAATGGGTGAATGAGGTTTTCTTTTGCTTCATAAGTGATCACTGCTACATGCTAAGAGGCATTCAGACACTTCTTTTGATGTTAGCAATGAAATGAAAGAAAAATAATAAGTCTGGGGGTTCCTGGGTGGCTCAGTCAGTTAAGTGTCTACCTTTAGCGCAGGTCATGATCTCGGGGTCCTGGAATCAAGCCCCGTGTCTCAAGGAGCCTGCTTTTACCTCTCCCTCTGCCTGTCCCTCCCACTTGGGCTTGAGCTCTCTCTCTCTCTCTCTCTCTCTGTGTGTTTTAAATAAGTAAATAAAATATTTTAAAAAATAGTCTAAAAGTTAGGAATTTAATAATACAGTAATAAAGAATAATCTAATTATCAGTAAACAAATATGTTTTAAAAATCAAAAGATCAGAACTTTAAATGGCTTCACTACCATTTAAAGTATATATGGTTCAGCATCCTTCCATTAAAGTGGTAACTATTCCAAAAATAAAAATGCTCCATATAATATATGATACTGGGTTTTAATACAGTAAGGATTCCACAATCTATCCATACACTCGAGTCAACAAATATTTATTGAATTCAATACATTAACACTTCGTTAGCCACTAAGGATGTTATGATGGGTCAGATGGAAAGCATGTCTACCCCCCAGAGCTCACAGTCTCCTGGGGAGGAGAGGCACATGGATAAATTGCTGGTGATTACAAGGTACCATGAGGACTAAGATGGAAGCAGAGGGAGCAGACGCAGCAAAGAGAAAGCCACATCCTGCCTTCTGGAAGCTCTAGCAGTTACTGTGGTTCATTATGATGCTTCACTCCTCTTAAAATGCCATCGCATTGCTTATAACTTCCATTTTCATCCAAGGTCATCCATTTAGCTCTAAATATTGTTCTGACAGTGAAGGCACTGTTTTCTTCCCTTTAATTTTCTTTCAGTTTTACTTATCAACTAAAACAGTAACTCATTTTGAACTTTAGAGGGTTTAAACACTAAATCTACTGTTCTTTAGATGAAGCATTTTAAAGCTAACTCTGAAACACTTTTAGGACTAGTGAACTAAGAAAATAAGAAACTTTATGAAACAATAAAGAAAAATCCAACAACATTCATACATAAAGTCAGAGAAATTTTCCATTAGAATTGTTTGCAGCAGATACTCATCCACCATCTCCTTTAAATTTGATGATCTTTCCTTAATGCATGCAGCAACAGGGAGCTCCCACTTAGAAAAGCTATCTTCCACTTGTGGATACCTCTAATCATTTCAAAGGTTTTATTTTACCACAACAGAGGTAGTAGGGGGAGGTGTTTAACTTCCCCTGAACTACCAGAAAATAATCTCATTTATCTTTTACATGATAAACCCTCTCTTACTGAAAGGCGGCTGTTAATGCCCTGTAAAACCTTCTTTCCTTTAGATGAAACTTTCCTGTTCATTTAAATATGCCACTTGTTACATTATGCCCATGATTTGTTATTCAATACATATCTACTGAGCACCAATTTTGTCCTAGACCCACAGCTAGGCACTGGAGATGCAGAAGGGGTTGAAATACTAATTGATCTTTCCAATCTCTATACGGATCCCTTTAGGGTGGACTCTAATATGGCAATGTTTTACTTAAAATATACTTTGTGTGGTCATTCTGATGAATAGAAACAATGCAGAGATGGCATTATCTTTATAAAAAGCCATTTTATACTGTTTTCTGTACTTGGATTTGTAATAATTAAAATCTTCTGGAACACTGTTGGACCCTGGCTCACGGGTGCCAACGTGTCCCGGTGGACGCCCCAGAGACTCAGACCCCAGACAGGCAGATGCAATCAGCAAGAGGGTTTATTGCACGTTTGCGCAAACGGGCTCTCCGCCTCCGAGGAGGAAAAGAGCCCAGATTAGCAATTACAGGGATCTTTTAAAAGGCAAAAGGAAAGAAACTTCCTAAAGACAAAAGAACCGCGGGAGTCGCATGGCATCCAGGTTGATTTTGGGGAGGGTCAACATGAACCTATTCAGGGACATTCCAATCAGGGTGTGGGGGGGGAAACGGTTTTCTTATTGTAAACAGAATGCTTTTAGTTGCTAAAATTTCAGGAAGAAGACTGGATGGGCTGCCTCTGGATTAGGGCTGGCCCTACTTACAAGGGGGGAGGTTTCTTCATTCCCTCCTCTTGTTTGGGCTGATTTTAACCTTAAAATCTTAGGGAACATTTATTTTTTCAGTTTGGAGGGCCCGACATTGCTGAGTTAATACCAGAGCTTGGGTAATAGACAATCTTTCTCGGATGAACTGGAGCAGCCGGTTGAGGACGCAGGGGCCGAAAGTTAGCAGCAGGAGCAGGATAACTAGAGGGCCCATAATGGTAGAGATTAGGGTGGTCAACCAGGGAGACTGATTAAACCAGCTTTCAAACCAGCCCTGCTGGGCCTCCCGGTCCCTTTGTCTTTTATTTAACCTTTCCCTGAGTTTGGCCATGGAGTCTCTGATGACTCCAGAATGGTCTGCATAGAAACAGCCTTCCTCTCCCAGGGCCGCACACAGTCCTCCCTCCCTCTTTCAGGACTAGTCAATCCAAGCCTCTCCTGTTGTGAAGTGCTACTTCTGAAAGTGAGGGGAGGGACTGTTCTAGCTTAGAAACGGACTGCGCTAGTGTCCGTGGATCCTCATCTACAGCTGTTTGGAGTTCTAGATAACGCCGTGAGCCCTGGATCAGAGCAGCTGCGCCAGGACCCACCCCAGCAGCGACCCCTAGTCCCAACATAACGGCTAAGGACAGGGAGACAGGTTCGCGCCGAAAACGGGTGGGATGTTTATCATACTGATTTTCTAGAGTTTCAGCAGGGTGATAGAACACCCTGGGTATGATCTGCACCAGGACACAGAAGTCGTTTGAGCTATTTAGAACCTTAGCTGACACACAGGGGGTGAGGCCTTTGTTGCATGCCCACCAAGTTCCCGGCTGGGGCTCCAGGTAAGAATCAGTCCCCAAAATCGGGGTGGTAGTGTTACAAAGTCTCTGGTAGCCCCGGGGGGGTGTTCCTATGCAGGTTCCCTGTCCTGTAACTTCTGTAAGGCTGAGTTGTGGTTGGGAGTCGGGTGTGCATCCCTGAGTGCTAGTGATGTTATTATAGGTCCCTGAAGTAGCAATCCCCTCATAATAAGGGGGGGTGGTGCAAGGCAGAGCCAGCAGGATTTAGTTACATCGGGGCTGGTTCGATTAAGAGCCAGGAATGCCCCTATGATAAGATTTGTCCGGTCTCGGGTGACGACCGAGGGATTGGAGTGACCGCGAAGTTAGTGGGTGCGGCGCTCCCTGCGGCTAGGGCCGGGGCAGCTCTTTGTTCCCCGAGGACCGCTTTAGGCCCGATCGCCACGGGGTCTGGGGATTCTATTTTTAGTTTAATTCTGAATATAAAACCATCATCTGTTCTTTCTTTGTATAACCTGAGTCCCCACGTATATCCATTGGCCCAGTGAGTAGCCCTTTTTCCGGGCTCCGTGAAGGATATCCGTAGGGGATGACACCACCCTTGGCAGGGCCCATAATTAAGGGTTTTCCATTTGCTAAATGTCGGGTGAGTATAGTTAGCCTTGACAGTGATACAATCCCAGGAGGAGGAGGGCCTCCATTCTGCATCCCCCGTAGTTTCGCACCCCCAATTTTTACAATAGAAGTATTCCCCTCCTCCACAGGTGGGATTTAGCCTGCGATCTCTGTGGTGCCCGGGACAGACATAAAAGGGAAGAGTGCTTGGCATGGCCCTTCTGTCAGGCGTGCCACATCCTCCCCATGGGTCTAATCCCAGTCGCCCTGGAGGGCTTTCTTGGTTAGGGGCTCTAGAGGTATCGAAGTATCCCTCTAGGTCCCATGGGCTAGGGGCCCCTATGGTTAGCTTGCATAGGTCAGGATATAGGTCAGGCCACCAGGTTCCCACGGGGGCGGTCTTAGTTATAGACCAGACCTCGTCACCCCCAGACGTTAGTACCTGCCAGGTTAACCTTTTGAGGGCATGAGGGCTACCTTTGGCGGAGGTGAAGAGCGCTAGGAGAGGTAGGAATATAACAACTGTCATTGAACAATTTTTGAAAGTCTTATCTTGAGTGGGTTTTGGGTGCGGTGGAGCTTCCATTGGAGTGGCTCGTCCGGTCCGTCCTGGCTGGCGTCAGCGGTGCTCGTTGATGGGGCGCGCTGGACGTGTGAGGCGTGGACCCAAGCAGCAATGCCGTCTACCTTTAAGGCGGTTGGGGTGGTCAGTAGGACAGTATATGGGCCCTTCCAGCGGGGCTCAAGCGTCCTGGACTGATGTCTCCTGACGTAGACGGAGTCACCGATCTGGAACGGGTGTGGGCCGGTTGTGTCTCCGGGGCGGTAGACAGCCGCAAGGGGTTTCCAGATCTGGTGCTGGATAATCTGGAGCGCCTTTAGCCTGTCCTGTAAACCGGGAGTGTTAGCAAGAGGGTCAAGAGCAGAATCTAGTAAGTCCGTTACTGGTGGGGGACCTCCATAGAGAATCTCGTAAGGAGTTAGCCCATGGCGCGCGGGAGTGTTCCGGACTCGGAATAGAACCATAGGGAGGAGTTGGACCCAGTCTCTAGTGCCAGTCTCCAATGTCAATTTAGTTAGGGTCTCTTTAATTGTTCTATTCATTCTTTCTACCTGACCTGAGCTCTGGGGTCTGTATGCACAATGTAATTTCCAATTTATCCCCAGTAATCTGGCCACCAACTGACTTACCTGGGAGACGAAGGCGGGGCCGTTGTCCGACCCTATTACCTTGGGCAGTCCAAACCGGGGGAAAATTTCTTCCAGGATTTTCTTGACAACCACCTGGGCGGTTTCTCGCTTGGTGGGGAAAGCTTCTGTCCAGCCATTTCGTAGAAAGCTACTCCCATCGGTGTACCAGGTTGCTTCAGCATCTGGCAAAGGCTGGTCCGTCAAGTCCCCTCTGGTGCCATGGACTTCAGCTAGGATCTGGTGGCAATCATACATTACTAGGGAGGGGGACTCGGTTTCTGGAAGCAAGGTGGCCGGGTTTAGAGATGTAGCCGTTCCAAACTGTATCCGCTCAGAATTCAGTAACATGGCCTGATAATGGGTGACCCGGGCGTTTGAGAGCCATCGATCAGGGGGCTGGCGGATGACTGTCTCTACGGCGTGGGGGGCCACCACAGTGAGGGGTTGGCCAAAAGTCAACTTGTCTGAGTCTTTTACCAGGACTGCCATAGCCGCTATTATCCGGAGACATGGGGGCCATCCTGCAGCCACGCTGTCTAATTTTTTTGAAAAGTATGCCACGGGCCTTTTCCAGGGTCCCAGTTTTTGAGTTAGGACCCCTTTGGCTATTCCATTATGTTCATCAACGTATAGCGTAAAAGGCTTGGTTACATCTGGGAGGCTCAGGGCAGGGGCGGTCAATAAGGCCCTTTTTATTTTGTCAAAAGCCAATTGCTGCTCCTTTCCCCAGTGGTAGGGGGTGTTGGATTTCGTGAGAGGATATAGGGGAGCCGCCATCTCCGCAAACCCGGGTATCCAGAGGCGGCAGAACCCAGCACTGTCGAGGAACTCTCCTAGTCCTTTGGCATTAGTGGGTGCTGGGATCAGGGCTACAGCCTTTTTGCGGCTCTCCGTCAGCCACCTCTGGCCTCCTTCCAGGAGATATCCCAGATAGGTCACTTGTCTCTGGCCTACTTGGGCCTTTTTGGCGGAGGCTCTATACCCCAGTTCTCCCAGTCTCTCAAGCAGGGCCCCCGTACCTTTTACACAATCCTGTTCTGTCCTAGCCGCCAGGAACAAATCATCCACGTACTGCAGAAGGACGAGGTCCGGATGGCCAACTCGGAAATCTGCCAAATCCTGATGCAAGGCCTCATCGAACAAAGTGGGGGAGTTTTTGAATCCCTGTGGCAGCCTTGTCCAAGTGAGTTGTCCTGAGAATCCCGTCTCAGGATCTTTCCATTCAAAAGCAAAAATAGGCTGGCTTTGAGAGCTTAACCTCAGGCAGAAGAATGCATCTTTTAGATCTAACACCGTATACTAGACATGGCTTGGGGGTAAGGTGCTGAGCAAGTTGTAGGGATTCGGCACCGTGGGATGTATGTCCTCTGTCCTCCAGTTAACCTCTCGTAAATCTTGTACCGGCCGGTAATCTCCTGTGCCGGGTTTTTTTACGGGTAATAGAGGAGTATTCCAGGGCGACTGGCAAGGTATTAAAATGCCCAATTGTAATAGTCTCTGTATACGTGGCCGAATGCCTTCTTTGGCCTCTTTGCTCATTGAATATTGCCGGATCGATATGGGGGTGGCCGAGGGTTTTAAGTTTATAATTATGGGCGGCTGGTTTACAGCTAGTCCCATTCCGGCCGTTTCCACCCAGGCCTGAGGGTAGTTAGTGAGCCATTCAGAATCTAGGGGCTGCTCGGCCGGTGGAGAGTCCTCGTGCAGCCGGTGTTCATCCTCTCGGCGCAAGGTCAGTACCTGGAGGGGCTGCCCTCCCGCGCCAGTAATAGTGGCCCCTTTTTGCTGAAAAGGTATCTGGGCCCCTACTTTTGAAAGAAGGTCTCTGCCTAGGAGAGGGTAAGGGCAGTCTGGGACCAGTAAGAAGGAATGCGTTACTTGCCCAGTGCTCAGGTGGACCTTCCGTTCGGTTGTCCATCGATATAACTTGCCTCCAGTTGCCCCCTGAACCCAAGACGTTTTAGAGCTCAAGGGTCCTTTTGCCTCAGTTAAAACTGAATGTTGAGCTCCCGTATCGACCAGGAAGGTCACCGGCTGTCCCCCCACCTTAAGGGTTATCCGAGGCTCGGGGGGGGGGGTTCCCGGCCCTGACACCCCTAATCTTCATCTTCTAGGGACAAAACAGGAATGGGCTTCTTTTTAGGTCCCTGCGTTTGGCCCTTCCTTGGGCAATCTTTAACCCAATGTCCTTTTTCCTTGCAGTAGGCACACTGGTCTCGTTCAACCCGTGGTCCTCTTTTGTCTCCCAGGTCCCTACTCTGTCCTGACTTACTCTGCCCTGAGCCCTGTACTACGGTGGCCAGTATAGCCTTCTATTAACCTCTGCAGAAAACCTGCCGGCGTCTCATCTTTTCCCTGCACTATAGCACGTACCTTTGCCAAATTGGTGGGGCGACGCCCTGCCCCTTTGAGACCCGCTAGGAGTACCTGGCGATAGAGGCGGAGCCGCTCCCTACCAGCAACAGTGTCGTAGTCCCAGGTCGGGCGAACCAAGGGGAAAACATCCTCAATCTCATTAGTCAGCTGGGTCGGCCTCCCATCCGCCCCCGGGACGTTTTTCCGAGCTTCGAGTAGACGCGCTGTCTCTCCTCCGTGGTGAGGAGAGTCTGCAGGAGCTGTTGGCGGTCATCCTAGGTCGGCTGGTGGAGGTGTCCATTGGGTCCTGGCTGGAAGACTAGGGCCTTCACCTGCAAGATAATGTCAGTATTATCCTGGGCCACCCGACGTTGAAAGCCGGCCACTCTGAGGAGCAGAAGGTGACCCATCTTCGTCTTCTGACTTCGACCGAGAGATTGTGTGCCTGGCTGGCGACTTCTTTCCAGTGATCTAGAGTGAGGCTTAAAGGGGTGGTTACAGTCTGCCCCATGGGTGTAGAGAAGGGGTGAGCGGTGAGGAGGAGGACAGGAAAGGAAGAAAAACACGGAACGAACAGACGCACACGAACGACAGGACTGGCGCGGCAGATTCAGACGGGAGCGGTCGCGAACAACGACCCTCCCCGAAGAGGAGGGAGTGCCGGGGCTCCATTCCTCTTCCAGACCACTCCGGAGTCCGACTCCGGAGGGGGACCAGGGGTCTCGGGCACGTCTGCCTCCCCCGCTGGTCCAAATACAGAATACAGAGTACAGCGTCCTGCAGGCACAATACAGACCCAGCACAAAACAGACCCGGCCAGTCAGACAAACGGACGAGACAGATATGACATTTAGCGAGCTCGGTCTTACCTCCTACCGGTCTTAGGATTGAGTCTGGGGCGTCTCAGATCCCGGATGAGCCCCCAAATGTTGGACCCTGGCTCACGGGTGCCAACGTGGCCCGGTGGACGCCCCAGAGACCCAGACCCCAGACAGGCAGATGCAATTAGCAAGAGGGTTTATTGAACGTTTGCGCAAACGGGCTCTCCGCCTCCGAAGAGGAAAAGAGCCCCGATTAGCAATTACAGGATCTTTTAAAAGGCAAAAGGAAAGAAACTGCCTAAAGACAAAAGAACCGCGGGAGTCGCATGGCATCCAGGTTGATTTTGGGGAGGGTCAACATGAACCTATTCAGGGACATTCCAATCAGGGTGTGGGGGGGGAAACGGTTTTCTTATTGTAAACAGAATGCTTTTAGTTGCTAAAATTTCAGGAAGAAGACTGGATGGGCTGCCTCTGGATTAGGGCTGGCCCTACTTACAAGGGGGGAGGTTTCTTCAACACTTCTTATATGAAGTCGTGTTAAGCCACATATCTATGTTCTTTGTTAATATTTAATTTTTTTAGGGACACCTGGGTGGCTCAGTGGTTGAGCATCTGCCTTCAGCTCAGGTCATGTTCCCAGAGTTCCAGGATGGGATGTAGTCCCACATTGGGCTCCGTGTGAGGAGCCTGCTTCTCCCTCTGTCTATGTCTCTGCTTTGCTCTGTGTATTTCTCATGAATAAATAAATAATCTTAAAAATATATATATTTAATTTTTAGAGCCTAAATTGTGTATTTTCTCTGTTAAACTTCATGTTGTTCATTTGAACTATCAAAATTAAGTTGCACTTTTATTCAGAAATACAATGTATTAGCTGTTCTTTATAATTGTCTGCATCTAAAATTTTTCTAACTATGCCTCAGTCTTCATTTATCATGTAGATTTTGCAGAATGGCAGTGAATATTCTAGGACTATAACCTGTAGTTTGTTTTGCACCCTAGGGTGTAATTCTTATGAACTTTGACTCTCTACAAAAGAGGAGTCACCTGATAAAGAGTAGAAAATACTTCTCTGTATTCGATTCCCATTCTAGTGTCCATACTAAATATGCTTTATGACCTAGGGCAATTTAATGGCCTTCTTTTAGCCTTGATTTCCTTTTCTTTTCTTTTCTTTTTTTTTTTTTTGATTTCCTTTTCTATAAATGTAATGATGCCTTTTAAATTCCTATAAGTATATAAAATTTAAATTCTTACGTGTGTATAGAATTTCACTGGTTATCAAAGCTTCTTGATCTCAGGCACTTATTTAATGTATTCATTGCTATATATCCAGAATTCATATGAATATGTGTGCAGTAAATTTATAAAAAAGTCATTTCTGAATAAAAGCATGGCATATAGTAGATATCAATAAACATAGGTTTAACTTCTCCTTCCCTGTCTACCTTGAGCCTCATTTCTTCTTGGCAAAGTTTTACCCTGGACACTTTGAAGATCATTGCCTTTCATATGGAAAGTAGAAATAAAATAAACGTTGGCTTGTTCTCCTTTCTCCCTTTTAACATCACATCAGAGCCATGATTAATCCTTCCTTATGGTCTTTTTTCATTCAAAGCAGAAAAATAGACATTTTTTTGTTGTCTTCAGTATATTTCACAAACCCTAGCTTATTCTGAGTTTTAATATTTTTGTAATGAATTTTCTGGTTAGAATGCTTCTTTATATTCTTCCTTTGAAATATGTCTCTTCTTCCATCATTTGTGCATTCCTAGATAACTCCCCATAGAGCCATACTGATTTCTTCAGAAGTCATCTTCTTTTTCTTTTCTAGGGGATTATTTATGATTGAACTATAAGAATTTGTTTTCTTAGAGATTTCTGTCCGTCTTGAATCACCTCCTTCTTTTAAGTTGCTGAACATAGACTTTTGGGTTTTTTTGTGAATATTGTGAAGCTGCTTTCCTAAAGGCCAATGCACATATCTGACTATACCTTGTATATAATCTTCCTTTGATTTTTTTTTGCCAGTGTTTAAACACCAAAAATCACCTCATTTTTTCTTGCAATGATTTTCAAAGTAGCAATCTCTATAGTTGCTTCCATCACCTTCTAGAAAATGAATCTATTAGTAAGAAAAGTCAATAATGTATTGGGGTTTTTACGTTAAATGGAATGAGGCTTCCAAAAGCCATCTTTCTATATATTGGCTTCAATATACTTCCCTGTATCTTTTATATATTAGGTATATGCCTCTATCCCTGCATTTTGATTACATTATCCAACTCAGCCAACTGGTCTAATATGTCTTCTGGCCTTTGTTTTCACTCAAATAACTTCCAAATGCATACTACCACAGTAACCTCATGATTTCCCCTAGAGATGAATACTTGATAACTTAGAGGAAAC